ACTTCCGAATCTTCATTGCGCTCTGGAACATCTTTATGATGTTCTGCATGATTGTGTAAGTAGAACTGCTGCACGTGTTGCTTTAAAGCGGCAAAGCTATTTACCTTTGTCACCCGGTGAGACTTCCTAGTGTATTTGTAGTTAAAATGCCCAAAACCTGAGCCAGGCCAGCCCCGTTGCACAGTTGTAGCCAGCTGTCACCTGCTTCGTCTGTGTTTCATCCACTAGGTTGTTTGGCTCTTGAACGGCATGGAAGCGTGTACCGGGCGCAGGTGTTCTGTTGTGGCTGGGAAGAGGCTTTCGGCTGGAAACGTGACCGCTTAAAGTAAAATATTGCAATGTTTTCAAAATACCAGTGTGGAATTCTGTGTTTTCTTTCTTTCACGAGAGTACCTAGATGTTACAGGGACAGGACACGCTCGTGCTTTTCAGCAAATTGTGAAAGGATGTGGTTATAAGAACAACATAGCATACTGTCGAGGGGCAGAGGGGCACTTTCATGGCTAGGTAGACCCAAACTGACCCTCCTGGACACTCGCCTCACCTAGATGTTACTGACTCTTTGGACTCTTCATGTCTCAGAACAGGGTCCCACAAACTCTGAACTAAGAACAAACACCTTGGACCACACGCGCGCTTCTCGCTTGCCGGCCTGCATGCTTGTTGTCTCGAGTAGTCTGGGCCGCTGCCTTGATTCTCAAAGCACAGCTCTGCAAACGGCACTGGTGGCCAACAGCGTGATGCCTGCTCGCTATCTAGTATTATAATATTGTTTGATTTCTTTTTTTTTCCCCCACTCATTTGAAACTCCTGGTCTTTTCCTGCCTTTGCGTTCAGTCTGCCAATATAGAACATGGTGTATATATGCAGCATTTAAAGAGACATTTCTCTTGACCAAGAGACAAATTTTGACATTTATAAAAGGCTTTTTTCTTTTTTTAAGTTAAGCAAGTTGTTACAGTGCAACTTAATAGTTAGACCAGCCATTTCCTGCTTAGTTTTCTCTTGGCTGCAGCAATGGCCTCAACATTTGGGTGCTTGGGGGGCTACCTAATGAAGGAATAACTTCAGAGGAGAAAAATATTGTTTGTTACATCAAAGACCATAGTTGTCTGTAAACTATTCCAAAGACACTACCTGCAGACTTTTTGAACATGAAGTTAGTAGTCCAGGGGCCGCCAGAATCAAGTAGTCTCCTAAAGTTGGTAACACACATCCTTATATTTGAAATGAGGAAGAATGCGTGCTCTGTGCTGTTCCGTTTACTATAAAAGGGGTCTAGAGGCTCAGGAGAAGTTCCAAGAAACTTGTGGGTCAAAAAAGAGAATTAATCATCAACAGAGGTAACAAATACTCAAACCAACTTCCAAGCATTCTGATGATGTAACAGATCATAACGGATTGAAAAGAAATAAAAAAATAAATGTTTTCAATCTTTTTTTTTCCCTTGCATTTTCTTTTGGCTTTCCATGTTTGGTAATAAAGTACTTGAGTAAACAGTTGGTTTAAATTTGAACAGTGGTGTTTGTCAGCCTGCTTTTGAGCTGTTATTGCACTGTTTTGATACCAGTTATATTGTTCATGTTTCTTTTTGTGAAAAAGTGATCAATGTAATTGAGGACTTATAGAGACTGCAATGTAAATATCAGTTAATTAGATGGCAACTCGTTTTATCAAGTGGTGTGCAAAAAAAAGCCAAAGCGCATCCTCAGCTTTATACATCTAAGACAGTCAACAAATGTAATGCAATCAAGCTTCTTCAATTAGTGTTGATGATTGAGTGTAATTGAATCTTTGGACCAATGCTAGAGACTTCAATAAAAACAGCTCAGCTATGGCAGGGAACGTGTAACTAAGCATTAAGAACACATTTATTTGAGGGTTAAAGCAGGTGCTGTCTTGTTTCTACTCTGAGCAGGAGTCAGCTTCATCCTAGAAGAACTTTGTTTTCGGTAGACTGTCCTGTACTTATGACTGGCTTCCCCTAGCATTTATTTTTATTAAGTTGATATTGGTGTGCCTCAGCCAGCAACTTTTTATGGGCTGACAAAATAAATAGGGGTGGAGGGTGTGGGGGAAGCATTACCTGACCCCACTTCTATGTTTCTTTTTTTTAAGCAAGAATCTTCAGTCACAGGCTCTTCTCCGTGAGCAGCTCATTGCCAGCTAGGCAATTTAGCTCCTAGACTGGAGAGGGATTTAATGGATCGCACCTCCAGTTCAGTCAATCGTCCAGTTCTAGGCAGGAGCAAGTATGCAGCCAATGCACAAGCGCTGTGTGCTCGCAGCGGTTCA